CCGAGGTCGTCGCACGCGCTCGCGGCGAAGAAATGCCCGCATCTGATCAGCTTCTGGTGAACCACGACATGTTTCTCCGCGCTTGGCGCTGAATCGTCCGGCGGTAGCACGTGATCCAAAGCGAAGTCGCTGCTGCTCCGTCGCGATGCGTTCGCTATGGCGTCGTTCAGATCGAGCGCGGAATAAGGGCCATCGTCCATCTCATCCAGCGGCCACGTGTGGCCGACTTCCAGTTTCTGCACGGAGTTCAGGAGGCAATTGGCAGCACCTGAGAGCCGCGCCAAGGGCTCGTCCATCTCCCGAGCGAGCTTGCCTTCGAACACCCTCACTGGGATAGAGTGCGTGTCGTCTGGCGCCCAGCTTTTCACGCGGATGACCACGTTCTGCTGCGCCGAAGCCGAGGCGAAGGATGCCTTTACCGAGCCCGTCTCAGCGTCGCTCCAGCACCAAAGAACGCACCCGTCAAAAGTGCGATGACGCACCGACGTCGAGCAATCAGCCTGCAAAGAGGACATTGTGATCTCACTGCGCCCGTTCTCTATGAAGCTCATGACCGCAGCAAAGCGGCTTAGCTGCGGTCGCGGCCTTTCTGTGTACCGCTGCTGCAACCACTGATGTTTCGGCAGGCCGGCGACTTTGTTCGCGGCACCCTTGTATTCATCTGCAAGTTTCCATATAAATAAAACCTCACGTTATTGGGACTTGGCCGTGGCTTAATGCCTGCAGTGCGCAAGACCAAGCGGGAACGAGAACATTTTCAAGTTCACGTTCCCGCGGATACAGAACGAACATTTTCAAGTTCAGCCCCCCAGCCCAAGCGCAAGCGGGAACGAGAACATTATGAACTTCCCTTTCCCGCGGCTAGAAAGTGAACCTTTTCAAGTTCACCCTCCAGCGCAAACGCAAGCGGGAACGAAAACTTTTCAACTTCCTTTTCCCGCGGATAGAGAGCGAACCTTTTCAAGTTCACCCTCCAGCCCAAGCGCAAGCGGGAAGAGAACCTTTTCAAGTCCACGTTCCCGCAAATAGAAACGACACCTTTTCAAGTTCACCCTCCAACCCAAGCACAAGCGGGACAGATAATCTTTTCAAGTTCACGTTCCCGCGGCTAGAGCGTGAACCTTTTCAAGTTCACCCTCCAGCCCAAGCTCAAGCGGGAAGAAAACCTTTTCAAGTCCACTTTCCCGCGGGTGGGGGCGGCCGGGAGCGGTTGGAAGAGCACGTGTGCAGCATCGCTTGTGTGCTGCGCCCCCCCAAAATTGGCAACACATGCGCAATAATTTCACTATTTTTTCATAGCCTCAAGAGGCCCTTGTGGGCAGCGGTAAGCGGCAGACTACAGATTGATTCTTTCTGTAGTGGATTGCAAATTGTTTCCTTTTGTGGAGGATTGCAAAAGGAATCCTTTTGTGGCGGATTACACTTTGATTCCTGCTGTGGAATCTGTAGGAGGAAACCAAGGGGGAAAAATAAAACACACACAAAAGCATGAACATCAATGAAAACTGTGAAACGCTGTGTTTTACACTGTTTTTTGTTTCGGAAGCAACACACCATTGTAAAACACAGCGTTTTGGAGCTATGGGCGCTGAAAGCGCTGTGTTTTCACAGTTTCCAAAACGTTTGACACCAAAAGCATTGAAAACACATCAATTGTCAGTTTTCATTGTTTTTTTGTTTGTTCTCCCCCTGGCTTTTTCCTACATATCCCCACAGAAAAAATCAACATGTAACCCACATCAAGCGGATTCCTTTTGTAATCCGCCGCAAAAGGAATCAATATGTAATCCACATCAAGCGGGTTCCTTTCGTAATCAACCACAAAAAGAAACAATTTGCAATCCGCCTCCAAAAAAATCAAGTTGTAATCCGCCACGAAAGGAATCCATGTGTAAGTTCGTACTATGCAACAACAAGGTTCAACTTGAAATTCGCTACACATACGGAGCCCCTTCAATTAAGCGCCCTTGAACTCAGTCTTCGGTGTAAGAGGATACGAAAAAAAAGGAAAATTGATCACAGGGGGGGGGTATGCACCCGCGACCAGGGCGCGACTAGGGCCACGACCCACCCGCGACCCACCCACATTGCATTAACGACAAATCGGCGCTTGCGGCGGGCTGGTTGTAGCAGCTGAAAAAGCTGAGCGTGTGCGGCGGGCTTCTGGGAGCCTCGCAAACTGCGGGCGCCCCCGCCGACTCGCCACTCTTATCCGCGATTGCGCGGTGATATATATATATATATATATACATGTATATAAGTATATAGGTATACATATGTATATATATATATACACACATATATCTACATATATACATATATATATATATATATATATATATATATACAAGACTGCAGACTGCATTGGCGCTGCGCGCCATACACCTTGGTCCTTTGAGTTCCGCACGCAAGCGGAATGCGTGCGTGCATACATGCGCGCATGCATGTATACACGCGCACTCGCATGCACGTTCCGTATATATGTCTAGGTGTATACACTATACTTACGTGTTGTATGTGTGTATACAGCGTGCATGTGTACATATAAAGCTACGTGTGTAAGGTGTGAACAGTCATATGCAACTCGTACGTGTTTTGTCGGTGCACACTCATATGTATACATACATATATATATATATATACACACGCATATATGTGCATATATATATATATATATATATATATATATATATATATATATATATATTATGTATACAAATATATGTATATATGCATATGGGTTCGCATACACATGCGTATCTCAGGCGGTAGTGGCCTGACCAGTTGCTCAGGGCATCTCGCAACTGGAAGGTGCGAGGGCATCAGGCGAAAATGGCCAAATTACCATGGGACAGTGCATCGCCGAGCTCAGTGGGCGAAGATGTCTCAAGCGAAAATGGCCTGAACACTTCCGCTCGAGACATACTGAAACTCAGAATTGCGAGGATGTCTTAAGCGAATACGGCCTGAACACCTCAGCTCAGGACAGACCGGAACTCAGTGACGCGAGGATGTCTCAAGCGAAAATGGGGGGGAATACCATGGGGCAAGGCATCTCGGAACCCAGAGCTCCGAAAACGTTTCTAGCGAAAGTGGCCCGAACACCTCAACTCAAGGAACCGTGGAACGTAGAGTTACAAGAAAGCCTCAAAGCGGAAGTTGCTGGACCACCTTGGGGCACGGCTTCTCCGAGGTCAGAGTTCGGAGGAGGTCTCAGGCCACAGTGGTCTGATTTCCTCAGCTCTGGGCACCTCGGAACCGAAAATTGCGAGGATGGCTCTGGCGAAAGTGACCGGAACACCGCAGCTTAGGACATCCCGGACGCAGAATTGCGAGGGTGTCGCATGCGGAAGTGGCCGGACCACCTTGGGGTAGGGCACCTCCGAGGTCAGAGTTGCGAGGATGTCTTAGGCGCAACTGGCCCGAGCATGATGGGGCGGGGCATCTCCGAAGTCAGCCTTGCGAGGAAGTCTCAAGCGAAGAGTGGTCTGAACACCTCAGCTCAGGGCATCCCGAAATCCAGAGTTGCGAGAAGTCGCAGGCAAAAGTAGGCTAACCACCATGGTGCAGGGCACCTCCGAAGCCAGACTTGCGAGACTGTCTCAGGCGAAATTGGCCTGAACACCTCAGGCCAGGGCGTCTCGGACTCCAGAGTTGCGAGGATGTCTCAGGCGAAAATGGCGGGACCACTGCGAGGCAAAGCGTTTCCGAGGTGGGAGTTATGAGCATGCCCGGGCGAAGCGGATCTCATGACTCCCTCTTCCTCCTCCCCCTCCTCGTTTTCTGCTTGGGCGATACCCGCCACTCGTCCTCCGCACTCCCCTTGCGTATAATTCCCTCTTCCTGTTTCTTCATTTTCTTATTCGCGTTCTCCTAGTCCACATCCTCTTCCTCCTCCTTTCCTCCTCCTCCTCCTCCTGAGTTGCCGGCTGGGCCGGGCCGAGCAAAGCCGGCGGGCTGGCCGAAACGGGGACGACGACGATAACGACGACGATTACGACAACGAACGACGACGACGACGATCATCTCGTGAAAGTTGTTGGGGGCATCCTCGGGCATCTTCGCTGCATGCCACGAGACCCTCAGCGACTGGGTCACAATGTGGAATGTCATGGGAGCACAATCAATGAATGTTGGCATTCGGAAACATCGTGGGGGTGTTTTCGGGGCCCTCGTGGGCCGTTTTGGCGCCTTCGTGGGCCGTCCTGGGGCCTTTTTGGGCCGTCTTGGGGAGCTTGGGCCCGCTGGAGCCCGTTTTGGACCCATCTTGGGCACTTCTGGGGACCTCCCATGGCCCTTTTGGGTCTGTGCTGGGAGCCCTTGGGGGGCCTCTTGGGTCCATTATGGGCTGTCTTGGGGCTCCCGTGGGCGATCGTGGGGCCCCGCTCGGCCGTCTTGAAGCTTTCTTGGGGGCCTTTTGGGGCGTCTTGAGGCGATCTCGGGGGCTTTGAAGCCGTCTTGAAAGCTGATGAAATCCGAAAGGCGAATCTGCTAAACTTGTTAGGTTTACATAGGGATTTGGACAATTTTTGTGTTTTGAAGGCCCCTTGGAAAGCTTTCTGGGGTGCCTTGGGGGTCGTTTGGGCCGTCCTGAAGCAATTGGAGCCCCTCTTGGAGCGCTTTTGAGCTGTCTGGGGCCTCCCTTGAGCTTTTCTGATGACCCCTCTGATCGCTCTGGGTCTGCTGGTAAGGCGTTTGTGGAGACCCGGAAAGCCGGGTGACCTTTTCCAAGGACGTCCAAAGGAGCCCGAGAACCCCAGATCCGGGGATCCAATTTTTTTTGGGGGGGTTGACGGTTTCCCCCCCCCCGGGCTTGCAAAAATATAGGAAGAGGAATATGTACATATATATATATATATATATACACGTGTATATATATATATATATACATACACATACACACACTCATCTATACGTGTAGATGGGGCACGACGGATGGCGAGTATGTTGATGATGATGGCGATGAAGGGTCGGATCATCATACCTGGATAGGAATGGGCCAGGAGGGAGTCCTCTTGTAATACTTCTTGTTCGAAGTCCGCACCACGACCTCCTGCTTGTCGTGGTCGACGCTGACGCTACCCGCCGGGCCCCGACCGCTGGAGGTCCCGAGGCCTGATGGACCGCCGTCCGAATTCCAAGGTGCAGCCTGCGAAGCGCTCCTCGGCAGGCACCGCATAACAAAGCAGCGCGTGCGCTTCCTCGGCTCTCGGCCCCTGGGCTGGGATTGGGCATAGCCTTCCGGATACACGTCCACGGGGTAGGCCAGATTCCGTATGCGCCACTGAAAATGCTCAGGCGTGTCCTCCCCCCCTCCCTGGGCGCGCGCGCGGGAGCGCGCGCCCCCCCCCCCTCCCTTCTCCCCCCTTCCTCCCCCCCCCCCGCCGCGCCGGTGTCGATCGTATGTCGTCCGTCGTTGGTCGTCGTCGTGTCGTATTGTTTCTCTGCTCTCTGCCACTGGGCTCTTCTTGCGTTGGAGAAAAATGTCCTTCCGCCCTGGGCGGGTGCTGTTTGTCGTAAGGAGGCGGCCCGCGGCTCGACAGGGCGTCGGAGCTGGCAGGAGCACGGTGGACTTTTATAGTGTTAAGTCGGGCGTGTCCCCCTACAGGGGGATGTTCAACGAAAAACAAAAATTCAAAAATTTGTCCAAAATAGTCAATGAAGACTAAAAATAATCACCCGATTATTTTTTGACAATTTTTGAATATCCCCCCTGTAGAGGGACAGGTCCGACTTAATTATAGTGCCCTGCGGGAGGAGGTCCACGAGACGGACGAGCACGGCAGCATGCGCTCCGATGACCGATGGCGTGCACGACGCAGGGCACACCACGCTGCACTGAGCATTGTTTACAATCAACCCGTAGAGTAAGGATGCGCGATAAGGATGCAAGGGCCTTGGACGTCCATTTCGAAGCTTTTCGAGCAGGGCGCGGCCAACGAGAGTGGTCAAGGATAGGCCGAGGAGGCAAGGATGCGAGGGTACCGCTGGGCAGGTCGCCCATCATTACTCTGCGGGTTGACTGTATCCCCAGCGGCGTGGCCTGAGCCCCACTGGCCGATTCACCCCTCTTGACGGGGAGATGGGCCGTTTGCTTCGGAGTTCGAGGGGTACATCCCCAACTTGGGTGCCGAGATGGTGGGGGTCTGGATGGGCATGGGGATGCGGACGAGGGTCGGTGAAGCGATGCTGATGCACGCAACCTCGGACTGGATGGCCATCAGTCACAAAACGGAGCAGCAAAGGCATCGGCACTGAGCGCCCACGTGCCGCCATGCAGACAGGACGGGGCGGTGCGATGTAGCAAAGGCCAGCGTTCTTGGGCCACTACTCGTGCTGGTATTAGCCAACGTCTGGTATTACAACTCGTCCTGGTTCCTTTCGCCTGCCACGCTTGAAGGCCAGACCTTGTGGACACTCTCGACCAGAAGCTTGGACACAATTTCGATTCGCATCTTGCTCCCATATTCTCGTCTGGACCTTCGGTATCTGAATTGAGCAAAATCATTATTGGGCCCCCGAAGCTCAAATCAGGCATCCGAGCAGCAAACCCGCCACATTTTAGCCCAAACGCCAGAAACACATGCATCCGAACTTCGATGAGATAACGGCGCTCGATTTGAACGAATTCTTGGTTCAAATCTCAATGACTGGACACTTCCTTTTTCCGTGCAGCCAATGCTGGCAAACGATCGGTGAGCCCTAGAAGAGGGCTCTGGGTGGGGCGCAAATGATGGGACGGGTCTGGGATCCATCGCTCTTCGAATTCGTCTCTTCCATTCTTGTCTCTGACTCCTTGTAAGAAATCGCCCAGCCCATCTCGGCAAGCGTCCTTGCGCAAGAAGATCGGGTTGGTCGAAGAAGTGCGCATGAGGTCCGAGTGGGGGTCGAAGCCCGGCTCCGGGGCCTGCCCCACCTCGAAATTCCAATTGCCTGCAGGGGAAGGGAAGGGGTGGGTGGTGAGGAGGCCTATGGGAACAGTGATGAGGGAGGCAGAGGGATGGATAGGGGAATGCCAACTTAACCTTGCACGCACACCATTGCTCAGGCTTCTGAAACCCGCGCGCCTTCACCACCCAGCTTTGTCGGACGCCGCGTCTTGCGTAGCAGAAGCACCTCGCTACCACAGGTAGGCATAGATCGCTCGCACTGCGATGATCGCATCGGCCGTCAGATGTGCGGGAGCAGAGACGCGTATAATCATAGTACGAGCGCGCAGATCATGATCGGGAAGGTGCCATGGCACCGACAACACGTCATCAATACCTAGGCCCATATACACATGACAAGCACGTCGACACATGCTTTCGAGCACGTGATGGCGTTCCCCAATGGGACATGACAGGCACGGACCATGTGATCCAAACGTATGCTGATAGAATCTGGCTGCAGCCCCGTGTACTCTCGAGCGTTCGCTCTCTATGGGCAAATCATGGTTGCTAGGCTGAGCACGTCGGTGCGTTCGTCATACTCCTGGCGGCAATAGACTTGAATGTCAACATCAAAAGCAAATCGAACGGTCGACATTTGGATACCGCACTATCGATTTGACATCCGGTGGCGTAATATAGACCTGCACATGACGACGACAGAGCCAAATATACTATGACCGCATCGAACATCATGCGACTTGCAAGGTACCAGCCGCTCCAGGAGATATTATGACACAACTGGAACAGAGCACGATGTTCGCTCGACATCCGCGTGTGCAATTGTGTCTGCTGAGGAACATGGCCTATTCGACAACGGCTCGCCTCTATTGCTTGCCTCCCTGCAATTGCGAAGGCAGCGGCGGGAACGACACTTTCGACCTCTCTCCTCCCTCAGCAACCCACCAATGTCCGCCGAACCACCATGCCCCCAACGCATACAATAAAATATTGATAGTGAGGATGCGCGGAAAGGATGCAAGCCCTTTGTGCGCCCATGTCGAGGCTCTTCGAGCGGGGCTGGCCATCGTACGTGGCTCAGGGTGGACCTAGGGGCAAGGATGCAGGGTACCCTTGGGAAGATTGCCCATCCCCATCATTGATTCCTTCATATCCTCAATCGGGAGCAGGGATGAATTGCCCACAGACTTAAAGACTGCAACGCCACCTGAAAACACAACACGACGAATCTCACTCTGGTGAGGCCTCCCACCGTGGATGCGAGATCTGGCGGCAGGTGCCCGTGGACGAACATCCGCTTCACAACACACACTGGACGAGTGGAGGACCTTGCCATCGCTCGGACGTCCATGTCCAGTGTAGTTGTTTGGCTTCGCGCGTCTTTATTATTTCCGAGGCTAACCGATATGCTCCAAGGTGGTTCAGATTTTCTAGCGCTGGCCTCGCCAGATGAAAATGCACACGCCCGAGCGATGCCAAGTGATGTGGGCGACGACGGCGACAGGGTCTCAACAACCGAGGAACCAGTGTCGATTTCAAATCGTGTCGCGCGTGTGGGCAGGGCGTAACTGTGCAAGCGGGCTGAGGGCGACACTCCGTGGCAACATGCTCGCATATGTTCTGGTCGTCATGGGTTCCTGGGCGTTGCCCAATGGTTGTCCCGCAAATGCTCTGCGGTTGATCCGTGGTTGGCCTGCAAGATGCTCGAGGGTTGTCACGCGTGGTTGTGACACTCTTGTTATGTGTGGGCATTGTCGTGTAATCTACGTGCGCCCGCTTGAAAGTATGAAGCCAATGCTCTTATGCATGTATACATACACCGACACAGTATAGATACACATTTAGGTGTGTGTGTGTGGACAAACTGTGTATGCAGCAGTCGGTGTATATGCCACATTATAACAATTTAGTGTTGCGTATACTTGCACATACATGTATACACATTCCTTCGTCTAGCTGCATCTGGAGAGACATAGAGCGTTGTGTAGAAAGCACAGGGAGCCGTATAGGGAAATGGTATCGAACACCTGCTTGGTTTTGAATTGCTCAGCAGTTGAGTCGGCGGAGCGTTCAGCAGCTACAGGCGACAATGACAGCGCTATGCAACTCGTACATCTACGTAGGCTGTGTATGCGAGCCTGTGGCTGAGGAATGGCACTGGCATGTACATGGTTACTTCTCAGAGAAGACCAACGCTTCGCCACAAGCCGCTTCGCTAGGGCTGGCTTCTTCTGGATCCGCTTCACTCGTCTTACTTCGCTGGGGCTCGCGGACCTCAAAGGGCAGATCGTGCAAGCGGGCCCTAACGGGAAGGCCTGGCATGTGGATCCTGGTGGGCGGGTCGGGCGGACGTGGCTCAAACCGGGCGGACACTTTTCGAGCAAGGTTGGAACTGGCGGATCCCAAAGGGCGTGTTTGGCGGGCCAACGGGTGAAATGAGCTGGGAGAAGCGAGCCGGGCGACACGAACCCGAGCGGAACGAGCCCAAGCGAAGCGAGCCTCGGGCGAAGAGAGCCGGCCGAATAGAGACGCGAGTGAAGTGCCATTGCAGTGGAAGCCAGTCCACAAGATACCTTCCACAAGACACCCAACCCTGAGACCCTAGGACGTCCACTGAGTTTCGGTGTGGAACGTCACGCCTTCTATTGCAGAACCATCGAAACCCAAGCAACCCAGGGCACCCTGGAGGCAAGCAGGGTGTTTCTTGGTATGGGTCCCCACTGTACGCCATGCGACACCAGCCAGCATCTCCTCATCCTCATGTTGAATGTTTCGGTTGCTTGCGCCAAACAGCGAACACAGTATGAACAGAAACCGAGGCGAGAGGCGTGCGAGCGAGCCTCGAGAGCGGGGTCAGTCCAGAATCTACCTGGTCGGCAGTAGCCAAAAGCACAAACCCTGTTGAACAACGCCAGCCTACAATCCTGGGATCCTCGTCCTCCATCTCCCCATCCTCGTTCTCCTCGCCTTACTCGGCTTTTCAAGCCTGGTCTACTCGAGCGTGCGACCATGCTGATCATCCAGCGCTGTCCCCAGATATGTTTCTTCTTATTCATCCTCCTCCCTCCCGCCCTCCCCCTCCCAAAAACCAGTTCTACCTCCTTTTTCTCCCGTCCCATTGAAGCCCTCCTCACGGCTCGTCATTCCTCAGCATCTTGGACTCTGGGTTGTCTCCGAGGGACAACCTAGGCACTTACTTGCCGTCGCTCGGACGTCCATTTCCCGTGCATGTTTCGGTTTCGTGCGTGTTTTTTTTTCTGCTCGATGGTCCAGGATGGTCCTCGATGGTCGTCCTCGCCGAGAAAAAATGCACACGTCCGAGCGGTGCCAGGCTTAGGCCCTAGCACGGCGACCGCGCGCCAGGTAGCATGAACTATGCGAACGCACGTGTAGCGAGTACCCCGTCCCTCGCGCACGGCCAGCCGCGCGGGCGAGACACCATCTGGCATCAAGGCCCCCAACAGATCTGCAAGAGGTCCCCCAGAACCCTCCAGGAAGGAGCCCCGACGAGACTCCCAGGAGCCCGCCCCGAGGCCTCCCAGAACCCCCGCGACAGACGCGGAGGAAGAGGAGGACGGATGAGCAACCGATGCGCGGGAATCAGCTTGACGGGAAGCGGCAAGCCACACGTGCGAACTCGGACACTGCATATTTCCTCTGCTTGGTGTCGGCGGAATGGCTTCGGCCTCCCGAGTAGTAAGGCGGCGAAGCCCCCCCGTCCATCGCTCGTGGCCATGGTTCGTTGGCAATGACGGCGGGCATCGATCAGCCACCCAGCAGATCTGAGCCCACTCGGCGATGCGATGAAGAAGAAACGACACGCATGAGACAGCTCAAAACGCACAACAGCGGGAGTGAGGACAGCACAGCCCACCCCAACCCCTGGCCGGCGACCCCACTCTGCCGACCTGGTGGTCCAGATGTCCAGGCTGGGGGCGGGTGGGGGGGGGGCTTTCTGGCCCCCGGGAGCCCCCCCCAAAGCACCCCCCCCTCACCCCGAGCCTGGCCACCTGGACCACCAGGTCGGGAGTGGGGGTCCTGGCTGGGGGCGCGGGGGTGTGTGGCGCTGCCCCTCGGGGACGGTCTCCCCCGAGCTTCGGCATGCTTCCCGCCCCTGGCGCGGCGCCAGCGTTGAGCGGGCAGTTCTTGCGGCGGCAGCCGCGTGGCCAGGGCGTCCCGCTGCAGGAGCCGTTCGGTCGTCCACGCCAGGGCGCCCAACTCGCCCCCCGCCTCCTCCTCCTCCTCCTCCTCCTCCTCCTGGAGCAGTCTTCGCCCCCTCGGCGTCGAGAGCTGGACGCGGGGCGGGCGGTAGCCACGCGACGCGCCCCGCAGGCCGCGAGGGCCTCCTGCCCCTCGCGGGGTGCCGGCCGCGCGGGCGACACGTCTGCTCGCCTCGAGCACGACCTCCGACGGCGGCGGCACACGGCCTCCGCATGCTGCCCGCACCCCCATCACACCTCGTCCGCCTCCTCCTCCTCCTCCTCCTCCTCCTCCTCCTCTCCCTCCTCTCCCTCCTCCACATCCTCCTCCTCTTCCTCCCCCTCCTCCCCTCCTCTCCTCCTTCTCCTCCTCCTCCTCCCCCTCCTCCTACTCCTGTCACCCCTCCGCCTCCTCCTCCTCCTCCTCCTCCTCCTCCGTCCCCCTCCTCCTCCTCTCCTCCTGCTCCTCCTCCCTCCCAAAGCTCCTTCGGGATAGGATGCATGGGTCCTCCAGTGCCGGCCTAACCCTCGGCCGTCAAGAGGTCTGAGCGGGAGGCCTCCGTCTCGGGTTTCCAATGCTTCTCGCAGGTCGGAAATTTGAGGGTGGCATGCAATTTTGGACGCCCGAAATGGGTACGGAAAGAACGGGTACAATGCCCAACAACAAGGGTTGTCCCAAACCAACAGCGGCCGCTGTTGGGCAGGCGGCCTTCTGTCTCGAATGGACACAGGCCGCGGCGGCGTGGACAGCGAGTCCGGTTCAAAATTGACCAGATCCGCCTTTGGGCATTGTACCAATTCTTTCCGTGCCCATTTCGTCCGTGCAGAGCAATCCTCGACGGAGCGGGACAACGAAGGAGAGAGGAGGGCCTTCAATGAACTTGGTCATCGAGTGAAGAGGACTGAAAGAACGTAGGGAAGCCGGCTATCCTCGACCATCTCCCCGCCGTCGGGGAAGGTCGTGTGAATCTTCTTGCGGCCGTCCGATCTCATGCAGACCCT